ACGGAACATAATTTCCTCTCATGCATGAGACTGAGGCAACACAGTAAATAACAGGTTTTGGGCCCAGTGTCTGACCAAAAAAGGAAAATTATTTTGTGAGTCACTGAAAAGTAAACAGAAAGGGTAAAAAATTACATGGAGACAAATTCCCTTCAGCTCTTAAATGCACTGGGTTATTTTAGGCTTGTCTGGGACATGTGTTATCCAGTAAAGCTGAAACTGTAGTTGCGTAGACAAAGTCTCCTTCATGCTGACACAGCCGCCGGCCGCCCTCAGCTCTAGACTGGCTCTAGGATTTCCTGGTGTGATCTGTACTATTTATTTTCATCTCTGAGCCTCAACATTCCCGTATGTAAAATGTGAGCAGGTTGGGAGGCGTTCTTGTTGCGTTGGACACTGTTGCTGACCGTCTCCTCTCTGCCTGTTGCCCACCAGGCATACTTTCTACATTCTGGTTCCTGAGGTAGGTACTGTTGACCCCACTTTATAGATGAGGTACCTGGGACTTAGGGAAGTTGAGGTAACCTTTCCTGAGGTTACAGCTAGTGTTCTAAGCACTAGGATCCCAGGTGGAGTCTGTCTGCCTCCAACGCAAAGGTGTCTGTCCACTGTACCTGANCTACAGCTAGTGTGTTGAGCACTAGGATCCCAGGTGGAGTCTGTCTGCCTCCAACGCAAAGGTGTCTGTCCACTGTACCTGATGTTTGCATCTGTACCTTGCAAGGCTGCTGTGATGACCTGGGGAAACCAAGTACATGAACAACTTTGGAAAACTGCATAGTGCTGTTAGTGTGAGATACTTCTAAGTGATTATTTCATCTAAGTGATCTCAGCCACTTATCAGAAATTAGCAGTAAGGTCCAAGACATAAGCCAGTCTGGGGACATTATATTTTCTGCTTCACAGATGAGCCCAAGGCCTCAGTGATGAGGAAGAAGCCTGCATAGCCAGTCCCTGCTGTGGCTCTAAAGCTCACCTCTAGCCCCTCTTCCTGTCCCTCTCAGCCCAGGTTCTCGCTCCTGAGTGCAGGCTGGGGTTCCGTGGCCCAGGGACTGGCTCCTGTGGCGGACCTTCCCAACCAGTGTGCTCAGAGGCGCCGGTGAGGTGAGAATAGGTTACTCGTGTGGGATGAGACAGTGATATTGATGAGAGTTTTCAATGAAGACGATTTACATAAAGTTAACCACTCAAAATTCCTGACAGTTGAATACTAAATGTATTTATACAGCAACTCTTCTATATTTTCTGCGTTCAGAGATGATTGCTGTGGTGGGTAAGGATTTCGGTGGAGTCCCAGCGCCAAGGGAATGCGCTCTAGTGGCCAGTGTGAGTTTCATAATATGTGATATAACCGGAATGATGAGTCTAATAAAATCCCAGCCACTACCATGATCTCCAGCTTCATTCAAATAAACATCAGAATTCTACTACGCTTTTTTTAAAAAAAAAATTATTTATTTTTAAAGTTAAATTTATTGGGGTGACGTTGGTTAATAAAATTTTACAGGTTTCTCGTGTACCACTCTGTTATACATCGTCTGTATATGGCATTGTGTGCCCACCACCCAAATCAAATCTTCTTCGTCACCTGTATTTGACCCCTTGTATCCTTTACTGTCCCCGCACCCTTCCCTCTGGTCACCACCCTACTGTGGTCTGTGTCCATGAGGTTTTGTTTTTCTTATCAGAATGTGTTAGCTTTCCAGAGGGGGAGCTTTGCAATTGTTTTGTGGCCTAAAATAATTTTTTTGGTGGGGGGGCTATGAGCAAGTCTTATTTTTCAGATCGGTTGAAGAACAGTCATTAGCTTAAAAACAGCTGCATTGNATTTTTGGTGGGGGAACTATGAGCAAGTCTTATTTTTCAGATCGGTTGAAGAACAGTCATTAGCTTAAAAACAGCTGCATTGACTTGAGCACCGGAGGAAGGACCACATGAAAATATATTTATGTAGAGAGGAGAGAGTCAGCACAAATCTGTGGTTGGTGTTTCATTTTGAATACTTGAGAAGAGTGCCTAGTACACAGAGTAATGCCCGTGACTCCCTGAGGGGCACTTCACCTTGGACTTGTCCTTGACCCCGGCTTCGCTCACGCCCGTAGACGGTCTGTCAGAAAGCGGCGTCTGCGTCCTCTTCAGTCCTGCTCAGGGTCGGGGTACATCTCAGCGCCCCCTCTGTTCCCTGCTGCAGCCCTTCCAGGTCACTCTCTGTGGCGGGATTGTGGCAGCAGCCTCCCAGCTGTAAGTATGAAAGGGAAATACTGGTAAACGATTTCCTGATAAGTGCGTTTCTTCTATAGACCTGCGTGGGCACTTGAGTGCTCCCGTATGCGATCCTCATTCGTAAACTGAGCCGCTGCCTGAGGGTGGTCAGTCCCGTTCACTGCCTCGAGGAAGTCATCTTTTGGGACATGAGCGCAACACATGAACAGGTCATTGATTACATGAAATAGGTGACAAAAGCAAAGAAATAAGCGCCCAGCTGAGGTGTGAATGCAGTGACTGTGTTCAGGGCAGTGACCCACGAACCCAGCGACTGGACGAAGCAGCTGAAATAAGTGACTTTCCANGGAGTAGTGACTGTGTTCAGGGCAGTGACCCACGAACCCAGCGACTGGACGAAGCAGCTGAAATAAGTGACTTTCCAGATCTGAACGTTAAAACGGTCATCAGGGAGTAAGTGGCGGGGCTGAGGACAGCAGGGAGTTGATGCTGAGTCTGAAGCTGGGTCAACGCGCCTTGAATCCTTCCTGTCCAAGGGCAGGAGGTGGGCTGGGAGGAGCCCGCACGTCCAGGAATCTGGCTGCTTCGGACACTGGAGGTTCCAAAGAAAGATAATAGATGAAGAGTTGTTGGGAGATTAAATCAGTTCATTGCAGTCAAGGATGCTCCTTAAAACGATTGTGGTAGCAAATGAAAAGGAGGCGGCTCTTGGTCTGGACAGCGGTAGGAATTAAATGTGGAAAGATGTCTAGATAGTTCCCTTAAGTAAATAGATTGGAGTCACAGCTCTAGCGACGTTCCTCCTCTTGTCACACTTGTGTCCCGTAGATAGACCTGGAGTTGTTCTTGGAGCCTGCAGTGCTGGCCTTGCTCTTATTAAATTGAAGCTTTACCTACTGGATCAAAATTTTCTCTTATTTCAGAGCCTGGAATGGGCATGCTGTGTCTTGTGACCATAGTTTCAGCTAATGTGTCATGTTTTAGAATTAAAAATCGCTGTCTGTTCTCGGAGCTTTGAAGGCCGTCACAACATTAATGACTAATACGTAAGGTAGACATTTCAATTAACTTTCTTGGATGTTGATGAGATAAGCACTGAGATTTATGATTGTGCTCTGAAATCTTTATTAAGTGAGCTCTCGTTGCTTTGGGTAACTTTGAGCAAGTGGTTTCTGAACCCCGGAAAGCACTGCTTCTGAGCTAAAGAGACCTCTCTTTTGCGGAGGGTCTCCAATGGTTTTTGCTTGTTTGTGTTGCACTGAGAGTAACAATTGTATGGAAGTGAATTCGCGGTTCTTAATTAGACATAACTTTTTATGCTTCTGGAGGCCTGGAATTCAGAGCCTTCCAGGAATGCTCTGGATGTTACAGGACCCTCCCTTAATTAACTGTGGCCAGTGGTCAGGTTTGCTTCAGGGCTTTGAACTTGGAATCGAGCCTCCCTTGTACAGTATTTGATGAATATCATCATTTCTCTCTTCCATGGCAGTTTCTAATATATATTATTTTTAAAATTACAGAGTAATCTGTCTGTGGGAAAAGAATCTGAAAGAGCATTGAATATAGACAGCCCCTTTTCCCAACTGAAAGTGAGAACTGTAAACAGTTTGATGTTTGTGTGTACGTGTGTGCATGCATGTATACATATGTGCACACACACACACACACTCCCCTTCCTCCCTGCTCACCTCCGCCCCTGCTCCCGGTCCCATCTCCTCAGCACGAGTGCTGTGATGTCGCCAAGGAGAGAGGCCGCGTGCGGGGCCCTGTGCTTTGCTGAATTCCGCTCCTGGTGGAGGCCTCGCCTTGGCCGCTCCGCCCCTGCCCGTTGCCCAGGCCCCGGGAACTCAGGCTGAGCTTTGCTTCTCTGCACCCCCGGCAGCCACAGCCGGAGCCACTCTAGCAGATCCACAAGTATGTGAGGCAGCCCTTCTGGGGGCCCCTCCGGGGGGCCCGCGGCCCCGCCCGCTCCCTGAGATCGGCCCGGCCTGGGGGCTCGTGCTCCACCCATTCCAGCGCCAGCTTCCCTGCGGTTTCCTTGGGAAGAGGTTCTCTGCAGCCTCCCTCTTCTTTTGGGTCGAGATTCTGCAGGAGTTTTCTGTCGTTTCAGCCCCATTGGTTTGTGGGTGGAACTTGCTTTCTCCTCTCTCCTGTCACTGTGGTGGGATTCGGGCGCTGCGACGACTCAGTCGATGCTCTGAACCCTCCAGGTGCCTGGTCTTTTTTCTGTTTCTGGTCCAGCGCTTTGGAAATTCTCTCAGGGCTCACTGTCGCTTGCAGTTCCTTTGGTTTGTGTTGAAACTTGCAAGTTCATTTTTCTTCCAGTTTTGCATTATATGTTATTCAGAATGACACCCCTGATGTCTCCTTGCCCTCTTCCTGGGTACGGAATGGCTCTGTTGCTTAACCAAGTACTTTCTACCACATTAATGGGCCTCACAGGGTGGCCTGCGCAGGACAACTAATGATGCAAAATTCACTTTTAGAATATTAAATAGTCACCCTCGTTTCATTTGATATGTATAAATGTCACTGTCCGGAGGATATATTTGTATTTTACTTGAAGGTGACTGAATAGTGTCGGTTTCCTTTTTCAGTATCCAGATTAATTGGACATATAAAAAAGTAATGGTAACTTCTTAGGGGTGCGTGGTCCTCAGTGCGCCTCACAGTGATTTCTTCATTGCCAGGAGAAGCACGTGACGGGCTCAGCGGCTTTGTTATTATTGAGGTATATCCGTCGTACAGCACCACGTTTCTTTAAAATTTTGCCTCAGGAAGGAGAAAATATTTTCTATCTGGCGATTGAAGACATAGAAACAGACACGGAGCTGCTGATCGGCTACCTGGACAGCGACATGGAGGCCGAGGAGGAGGAGCCGCAGGTCCTGCCGGTGACCCGGGGCGGGGAAGGCCGCCGCGGGCCAGGGGAGTCGCCGCCCGGCGGGACAGGTACAGCCTCGCACCCGGGCGAGGGGGCGGCGGGGGGGGGGACAGCTGTGGCGCATTAGGGCTGTGTGGGCCTGGGTTTCCTCAAAATGCAGGTAGCATTGCCAGCGCTGCTCCCCGGGGGTGCC